AATCACCTGGACCAGACCCTGCCAGGGATATTCTTCATGGCAGCTAAACACCAGATCAAACAACGTTCATTCGCTGTATTACATACCTGAGAAAGCTAAAGTAGATAGGCTTCATACAAAACAAGTTTTTTTGTTTCATTTCAAAGTTTCACACAGATTAAAGAATGAATAATGGCAGCTTCCCAAGTTTTTAGGCTGTCCTTGTGGTGGAAATATTTTATAGTCTCATTAAGAACTGCTTAGATCTCAGTCCATGACATTGTCTAGGCATGAAGAAGACACTGTATTCGCCAATGAAACTGAGAAACTGATTGTGACATTTAATCTGTCATATCTATTTTATTTATGATCTCTAAACAGTAACGAGAGATATCCTTTATAAAAAGGATTAAACAGATACGTAAACTGCTACGCAGATTTGATTTGGGAAGGAAATAAAGGTTTTACTCTTTTTCATGACTTAATCAAGAACGCTTCCAAGAGGGCTCTTAAAGGGGAGAGGTGGCAGCCTGCCTCACAAGTGATGACAGGAGCCCCTAAATCAAGTGTCACACAGCTTCAAACCCTAAGGAGTCATCAGTCATGCTTGCAAGAGGGGAAGGAGCAGCCTCCTTCCTTGAGATCAATGAGGCAAACACAGAATACTCCTTCTGCTCTCCTAAGGATGATTGATGACTCCTTAGGCAGCTGAAGTGTGTGACATTTGATTTCACTCACTGATAAGATTGTGTCTATCCAAACACCTTCTAGTTAATGTTTCCAGGGCCCCTACATAGCTGTTCTTTCTGACGTTTTACACAAAGCTCAACTGTTCAATGATTAATGAATTTCTCAACAATAGAAGAAAATTCTGTAAGAGAATTTTGTGACTGCGTTGCCTGATTTTCTGATCACAACACAAAACAGGAATCTAGGCTTCTCAAGAAAAATAGTGGGAGATCTCCTGCATTTGTCAAATGACACTTAGTGGGGAAAACAGTCCTAAAAGAAAACTGGCTTTTTTCCCTAACACTTTAAATATGTATCTTTTTGGTCTGCTTTCCAGAAAACCTAACGCATTGATTGATCAAAAATATTTTCCAAAACTTTAAGAAGCAGATTAACACATGATTATAGATTTCAACAGACTTGAAACGTGCTTTATAGCTTTCTTATTTTACTTACAACACCATATTCTTACCCAGTTATTTCATATTTTGAAATGATGCAATCAGCATGATTTGAAACTATGCTTTGTAATGCTTTGTAACTGCAAGGCACACTTTTGTTTACAGGTTCTAAACTAAGCCTGCTTTATATTACACATAGTCCGTATCAGAGGGTCTTGTTAAATAAACTTGTTTAGTATCACATGAATTGTGCAGCATTATTTATTATAGTGCTCGTACCCAATTTTTCTGCTTTTAAGATTGATATTGAATTAAATGTTTTAAGCAGCTCTGTTTTTCTCTCTCTTATGATATCACAATCAGGCAATGCAAGAACGTTTTTCGACCCTGATTTTAAAAGTGCCATGTTCAGCTGGATTCTGCCCCAGATGCCTTTAGGAGTTCTAGCACTTTGCACAAAATTCATGAAGCTCTGAGAAGCACAAGAACCAGACAACTCAGAAGTCTGACAGAAAATACATTCAAAGGGAGCTAAAACTGTACTCCAACAGGTTGCCAATTATATCTGTATATGTTTTTTCAATTCTTTTAAGGTCAAGCACTTCATATACTTCTAGCCTGCACATTACTTTCCTTACTCCGTAAGTATGTTTGTCAAAAAGCATACTAGTAAATCAGAAGAAGAATACTGCATTACAGTCCAGCAAGAGATGATGAGTGTGGCTATCTTAACCCTTCAGAATGAATGACAGGAACAGAATGGCATTACTGTCAAAGAAAAATGCTCCACATAACCTTTATCATTTTGCTAAAACCAGCCAACCAGAAGAAACCAAAAAGAAATTCCAAGTTTGGACTTGCCAAATGAATCTTTCATTTAAAATTTGAAACAAAGGGATTGCTTTTGCCAAACATTGCTAAGCTTCGCTGAGGCCTTGCGTGAAAAACCAAGAGCTACGACTATTTGGAATTCATATTTGATGTAAAACTTGGGCTTGTTCCCAATTAATGCAAATAAGAGACTGCATGTTACCTTGAAGCTTTCTAAATTAAAAATGATACTGACACAGAACTGTGCCAAATTAACTCAGTTATGATGAAATGATTATAAAAACATGGTGTTACGAACTGTCTTGGCACTTAAAGACATAATGAAGTCTCCATAACACTGAAAATCTGTTAAAATGAAAATAAAGACTGGTTTTGAAGTCAACATTTTATTTCCAAAATACTATACTCTTCAGGAATTTAAAATACTAAATATAATGAGATACAAAATCAAACAGATATTTATGTTGAAAAATACACTCTTTAAAAAACTTTTAACATAATGATTTAGAATGCTGACACACTTTAATGTCATGCACTAAAAAATAAATTAGGCATGACCTTTTTGACAACAGTGCTTGGTCTATAATATAACCTTGTAATATTAACTTGTATTTTTCTTCACTAAAAAATTGAAATAGCTTTTCTTTCTAAAACAGATAGAAACTCATCTTACATTCTCTGTCATGGTTCATTATGAGATAAACTAAAATCATACTCAAAAGATGCCCTTAGCAATGCTGGTAACTGTTAAGGACAGTGAAGTTGACAGGTAAACAGGAGTTTACATCCTACAGCGTCTCATTTTCCAGTTTGAAGTATACTACCTCAAATACGTGAGCATATGATATGAATACTTTACAGCTTGAGGAAAACTTCTCCTCAATTGTCCACTAACGAGAACCTGTATTTTCAGAGTATATAAAGATTTTTTGAAGGGCATGTTTGCTCAACAAACAACCACAGTTCTACCAGAAGTAGCTACTTAAAGTGGGAACAGATAGTTCCCAAGTTCCTTTCTGTATTACATACATTAGGAAGCAGGGATGTCGAATTCTTCAAGGAAAAATTATGTTCTGAAACTATCAGACAGGCTTCACTTAAAAACTAAATTCACATACAATTCCCTTCCTTCTCATTACTCTTCAACCCAGTCAACTCCAATTAAATTTATTAGGATAAATATTTAAACAACATTTCCATGAAAACAGCTGACCAGCTGGAAGACAGAGATCTTACTGGTGTGTTCACTGAAAGCACTGGGCACTATGTGCTCAGAAATACCTACTAGACTTCAAGTAACCTACATGGAAGAGAACGTTTATGAATACCCAAACTGGGAAAAGTCATGATGGGAGGTACGGGAGTGCGGGATGGGTGGGAGGAGAGGCTTAGCGCTCACTGCTAAATATGCATGAGTGCCCAGATTAACCTGTGGAATACATAAATTCAAAGAAATACAAATACTTGCCAGAAACAGTTGAGGTGAACAAAAAGAGAAGAAACCAGAGAAGACTCTTGGAAACCTGCCTAATTTTCTCTGAGCACACAGTCCACACACTTGGCAAGCTCACAGGGAAACCTAGCTTGCATCATTGTGACTCTCAGTCTTTCCCTGGGAATGCCCTGAATTGGTTTTCCCCAGTCTGTGGCCATGAGATGAACAGATCATTTTGGAGCTGGAACTCCTCCTTTCTCCAAAAATTTCAAAATTCAAGGACATTTTTCGGACCCAGAAGACACTTTCAACTATTAAAATTTTCCATTAAACGGTGCACCCTTCGCCATCTACTCCTATTGTTCAGAAAATCTTCATTCTGGCATTTTTAAAATTCTGAATGCTTAACTTTGAAACCTGCAAAAAGCATTGTGTGTTTTGGAAATTTGCAATTCTGCAGTCTTGTAGAGTTGTTAAACATTATTGTTCTTAGAATAAACGTCTCTTTAAAACAAAGCAAAAAATCCTAAACTAACAGCTTGAAACCCTTACACCTACATAATGTAGCTGAAAAACATTATAGATTGTCATCCTCCATTTGGATCCATTACTAAAGGAGTAGAGGTGCTTTTCTTATTGATTTCACTTGTATTTAGTGATAGAAATGGAACGTGTCATCCTGAATTCCATTTTAGGATCACATTGGCAGTATGCTCTAGTTCTCACCGACATTTTCTTTTCACTTTTCCTGACCAGTTGTCTACAACAAGTTTCCTTCCAGTCCTGTAACTCTCCCAAGTCCTCCTCCTTATCCAGTAAAACCAATCTGAAATCCAAGCTTTTCATTCAATTTCATTGGATTTCATTTGAATTTTCATTTTTCATTTAATTTGAATTTTCATTCAAACTTTATCATCCACACTACTTCTCTATCACACTGGCTGCTTGCCCACAGGACCCAAAATCCTGCTGATTTCAGGTCTCCTCCATAACAAACACTCACATTCAAATCCATGCGTTTCCTTAAACTGATTAATCACTACCATACCCTCCTCAGCTCTATAAAGTATCTTTTCAGCTAATCAGTAAATCATTTCCTCTAACCTCAGTCTAAATTCTAACACCTTCAGAGCTCTCCCACTACATCTTGGTTCCTCATCAGATCTGTCCCACATCTCTCTCACCCTTTTTCAGTTTTTGATGTGGCTTAAGCCTAGCCCGTTTGTCAATTATTAGGCCAATATTGGGCTATCAGCCCAACCCATGGTTTCCTAGCTCCTCTTTTCACATCCTCCTCCCAGTCTTCCCAATACAGAACTAAGCCACTGTCTAACGAGCAGTTTCCATCTAAGAGTCCCAATTTTCTTCTCTCCTTTTCTGGCAGGTTCCAACCACTAACTCTGCCAATTACTCCACATCTGGTCCTGCCTTCTGACAGACTGAAGGAACAGGGGAAGGCTTGCAGACCATAAAGAGAAAAGACCCTAAGAAGCAATTGGCTAATTGCACATTGCAAATGAAGACTAAAGTTCTCTTTTGCCAGAAACTGTAGGTTATTCCTCACATTAAAAAAAGAAATTCAATTCGTGTTCAAATCACAGAATGGACAGACCTTATTTGCTCACCTGAAATATTTGTTTCAAGGAGAAAAGTGCCCGTCTCAGCTCACGTCCATTGGAATTGTAAAGTTTTTCTGGGGAAAAAAAAAAAGGACAACAGAAAGAAGTTCAGCATAAACAAAACTGACAACATGGAAAAAAAAGTAGTACAGATTTCAAAAGAGTTGGAGTGTAAAAGTCATAGCGCCCATTTCCCATTAGTTAGACTGCTGTTAAAGAAAGCAGCTTTGATTTTTATATATACAGGACTCATTCGTTAAAAAAGTACAAGTAAAACATGGTTTTAGCTGTCCATAACTTCAGATGGCATCTCCCAGGTAAATTCACAATAGCTTCAACAAGACCAGTGAGAAACAATGCTCTAAGGAGTTTTTGAAAATGCCTAAAAATACTGCTCTTTCTGCATTAAGGTAAGTTTAGGGTTTATTGAAAGTACCAGATTAGTCTCAAAAAGACTCCACTGAGAGCCCTCGTTGCTTTTGTTATCAAAGCTAGAGCCACTGAATCCCATCCTTGACTGCCTTCCCTCTAGACATTCTTTTCTCATGTTCTCATCTTTCTATTGTTAAATCCTTTCTGTGATGGCAATGAACGTTAATACCAGAAACAGTCAGACAGTCTGTTCTAAGCATAATTCAAAACAGTGTTTTATTCTCATGAAAACTGATCTTGATCTTCTTCTAAATGAAGCAGAAGCCTTCTTTTCATCATCCAATACCGAAACATATTACTTCATTTGTTCCCCTACTAATGCATACTCATAGAAATAATTTAAAGAAGACAAAAGCAACTCCTCTGCTATCTTTCTGAACCCTGCCACAATGTTTGTGCCTTTGGAAGAAGGCTTGGACTGTACATCTCAAGTTTATTATTGCGTATTTAGAAGTGATTTGTGACTATACATGGATGGAGCAGAAGGTATGCCCTTCAGGTCTTCCTGGTCTACTACGTTTGGCGTATCTGATTGAGAGAGATTATATGCAAGACTTCTACAGTCCTAAATTGAATTTTGTTATGCTAATACAATTACAAAGGAAAATCAGATCTTCACCGTCAGCCCCCATGACACACTTTGCCTCACCCACAGATCATCATGAAAGGACCTTCTCTGCAATGGACGGTGGCTAGCAGGTCACGAGATCAAAGCTGGAATGCCCGAGGAGTGGGAACATTCTTATGAGAAAATGAAATACCAAACCCCAAAGTTTTATTTCTTACTTTCCCTTGTCTATTTCTCTTTTAATTACTACTCTACACTACAAAATCAAATTAAATTTTATTTCCCTGTTTCAGGAAGTTATAAAAAAGGCCTAGCATTTGAGGATTCAATACATTTATAACTCAGTAAGCATTTTTTACTTCAATCAAAGAAGGCAGGTTTTAATTTTAGAAAAACATTTCTTATTCCCAGCAGTCATCTTCAACCAAAGTAAAAATGTGAAGTAAAGCTTCAGCAAAACTTACACTTTTTTTTCTAAACTTTTGAAAGTAGTTTTGTTCATCCCTAATTGCCTCCGATTTCAAAGGCAGAACGTGTAGAATTGGCAAAACTATTGTTGTTATAAGTTGTCTCCTTCCTTGCACTGTTTATAGATTCCTGACAAAACACTGGAGGAACGGATTTCACTTCAAGCCATAAACTTAGAGGCATACTTTAATTACTCTTGCTTAAAAACACACTGGCATGTGAAACTACATTTCTTGGCAGGATAAAGAGTAATTTTGTCAGGAAAGCTTAAAGAATAATAAAGGTCTTTTAAGACCCGGTCTGTCAACTTTACATGCCATATTACACAAAATATTCCTCTTTGAAAGATACCTCCATCTGGCATTTGTTATTACTAATTTCCCTCTATTCATAATTCACCAGCGTCATTACAAGCAGAATCTCTACAAACAAGGCAGTGCATTATCATCTTAATTAAGAGAGGCACCACTTCTTGAAGTGCTGGCAACTTTGTATATAAATATCAAAACCCTAACAAATGCCATCTGTTGGTCTTGGTCTTAAACAAGAATAATCATCATCCCGGCCCAGGGTAAAGTCATAATGAACCATTGTTATGATACCATAACGCTGGTTGCTTTCATTGGTGCGTGCAGATTTTTGGTACGTCTCAGGAGGAACAATGCCGAACATTTTTCTTCTTGGTCTTTTCACAGAGCATAAGCTCATCCTTGGCAATCAGCACAAACAACCCTGCTCGCGTGTAGCAAACAGGACAAAAGTATTAGCTGCAGCTCAAAAAGGGGTCTATCATTAGAGCTGAAGCATCAGTAACTACTGGAAGTATCAAGTTTGGCAACAGCAGTGGCAATAAGACAGTGGCCACGCATTGCAAACACTTGAGCTGGTCTGACACCCCTTTTGAGGAGCAACAGTCCAGGTAAGTCATCTCATTTCTGACAGCTACTATCAGGGCACAGCAATCTACACAGAGACAACGTACATTTGCAGATCCCTCCTCGTGTGCAGCTAATCTTGTTGAATCAGCTCAGAAATACAAGTTCCTAACCTCTTCACCTAATATTCTCACACATGGGCAATATACTGACTATCTACGTAAGTCTTGGCACCCACTTCTTATAGTGCTGGCAGCCATCAGAAACATTCATGGAGCATAACCCAAGGAGGAAAGTGAGACCGTCACTCCTTGGAGTCATGCTACATCAGACGAAGTTTTGATTTAGAAAACCACAGTCCAGGGTGAACCTCACCCTGGGCAAGAAAGCCTGTGTAAGCCAAGGTACTGCATGGGTCACCTTATAAAACCTTGTGCTTTTATTGTATTTCTGTATGCTGTTTTTCAGAAAGTGATAAACGCATACACCAGATTACAGCTCAGGGGTGCTCAGTAAGATGCTCTCAAGGCCTCACAGGATTCCCATTTATCAACAGTAACTTTAACACCAAAGGGACCTCGGGGCTCATCCCAAAAGCCCCAGACTGCAACCAAGGCTATGAAAATGCATCAGCAGAAACTGAAAGGCAATAATCACTCATAAACTCTTTTTCTATGGGAGAAAATCAAATTAAAAAAAACAGAAAGGGAAAGGCACATTTGCTTACAATGTTTTCACACTGAAGACGATTCAGAAACCAGATAGCAAATGCTTTTTAACGCTTGCTGTTTTACAATAGCAATTTAAAGCATTGCCCTCTTTTAAACAGACTGAGAAATAGCCTTCCTTGCTAAAGCAGAGCTGACTAATTTCCACGGTGCATCCCTGGCAGAGTTGTCTTTAACTGAAACAAATGATGCCTAAGGCTTTGAAACAGGAGTTCAACCTGCTACTATCACCAGAACCAAAAATTCTGAGGTGCTCCAAGGACAGCCCAAAAGACCTACTTGCTCACTGCCTTGTTATCATGTGTTGTAGATAAGCTCGAACACGTGCACCAGGACTGCTTTATGCCAGAAGCTGCACCTCCGAACTTCAAGCAAGAACACTCACTGCTACGCCTCTCCCTGAAACTTCACGAGTCTCTGGCCTTTTGGTAAAACACATCTCCCGTCCTTCCGCAGGCCAGGTACAGGTTGGAGACATATTACACTCGTGCGCTTCAAGATTAGAGAAGATGAAACAGGTCAGGGAGTTTGAGATATCTGACTGTATCTGCATATTAATGACTGCATTTCTGACACTTATGTCCTAATAAGCTATGCTATTGCAGTTCTTTTTTACTACTTTTCTTCAAGAAATAAACAGCTGCATCTGCGGTCGGGAAATAAGTCTAACTGCAGATACCTGGATGACAGAAAATTCTCCTGGTGGTTCCCTCTGATGTTAACTAACACTAGAGGGCACTGCTTATTTCTTTATTTTATGAAAGAAAAGGCACTCTGTCCCTCCATGGGCTTCCCACTGATTAAGCAATAGTGTTTGGGATGCGGAGTTGGTACTTCATTAATGTTGAAACCTTGCTTTTTATCTGTAGGCTGTAGGAAATACCGAGAAATTAAAAAGCATCAGCACTGCCAACCTCAAACATTCAAAATCAGAGTCAACTCTTTTGAAACTATCTGATAGAAAACCAGGTAGCGGTATAGGCTTTTTTTGATTTACCTTTCTGTAACAAGCAAGAGTCACATTTGTTAAATTATCCTTCACATCTTAACGGATAGGTGTATATCCTTGAGAGATAAAGAGATTCCCTTAGCTCACCACTTCTCTCTAGAGGCAGAGCGTCAAAGACAACTGGGCTTAGGATACAGACAGACACGCATGAGAGGCAGAAACCCAGGGGTGCCTACTTTCTTGCAATGGCAGCACTTCAGTAGAGAGAAGGCTTCACGCTCTAAAAGAAAACCATTATTTATTACTCTGGGTTTTTGTTTGCTTTTACTTTTGCAGAAATAACTCTCCTAGAAAGGAAAGGAAAACAACTCATGCTAGGTGAAAAGGGATCTCTCTAGCTGAATTTGGTATAAACGTGGCAGTGGAGGGGAGGCAGTGTGGCTTGCAATCGGCACCTTTTCAGAAAGCAAGAGAAGCCTTTAAAGATCTTTATTTTATCGGACCACTGGTAGCTTTCAAAAGGAATTCTGTATTTTCAAAGACAGCTATCAGAGGCTCAAATTTCATTGGGTATTCAACTCTTTTGACTACATGGGAAAAGGGACTTTTTAAAGAAAATAATAATTGGTCATTATATTCTTAATTAAAGTATCGACTTTTCTTCTGCTTTCTATGGGAAAATGAGTGTTTTCAATCCACAATAATAAAAGAAAAGACAGAACTGGCTGAATATTGCTTGGTTCAGTCCCATGTGTTACACCTGACCTCTGACCGACAGGGTACCATCCTCCTCCCTTCCTCTTCCATCACACCCATTGAATTAGTCCCTGGGATATAGTAATTTATGTAGCATCAGCCTTTTGAGCTATTGGCAAAGGCTCGTGAACATCTGGCTGAGCACAAATGGGAGTTGCTCTGCTTCACTGGCTGCTGCCTGAATGACCTCCACGTCTCCCATCCATGCCTCTTTTCTTTAAACTATAACTTCAAGATGAAGCTCCTTTCCTTACAAAAACATAAAAGGGAGATTAACTCCACATCTGATTACATTAGC